GGGAAAAATGGACGTTTTAGCGAAAAATGTGACATTTAAGCGGAAATTAAAATACATACTTACATTCAACAAATTGTTAAGTAAAATATAATTATATCTATGCCTCTTCCGTTAGCCAGTCGGGTTAAGTTTTCTGCCCCCTGTTGGGGGGGGGGGGGTAGGATTTTGCGCAGGCTTAACAATACTATTAATTTCTCAGGATTGTAAAATACAAATCTGTATCTGTATTACATTTCCTCTTCAGAGTTATTATTACAAATGCTGATAAGTGCACTTACCTGTATAAATAAAAATGAGCTGAGTTTTATTCAATAGTTTTTAGCCGTGACCTTGAAACCTTTGCTAGAATCGGGATCTTAGAAATTTTAAAGTTCGTCATATTTTGCTGGCATTACATTGAATGTTTAAAAAATAAATTTTATCCGAGAAAAAAAAATCCACAAAATTTTTTTCTGAATTATTACAGGAAATTGCTTTTCTTCATATTAAATACTTTATAAATTTTCCGCTGAAATTAATGTCTATTCACACCTTTGCAAGTCCGTCGCCCACACATCTCCTATTATGTTCATTCACGTAATGTGATTTAATTATATAGTTGGCTTTACAAAAACGTAATGGGTGTTTGAAAAAATATATATAAAGATATCAAAATATTATCCAATAATTTTTAAATATAATTCATCTATTAGCATTACCAGCTGATCGGGGTGCCCTTTGCCTAAAACTCATTTAAAATTGCGGAAGTGACATACAGCGATTCGCATGAATGCACATTGTATCGATAGAAGGGAGTCATAAAACAACATGACGGGGTATATCAATGTAAACAAGTTTCACACCTTCGCGTTCTTTTGTTTACAAAGAAACAACATAATTACGTACAATTCCATGGATTATAGTATTGGTACATGTATTAAGACCGTATATTGGGACTTCTTCTAAATCGATATACGTGTAAATCCTGCTGCATCGTATAACCAAATTATATCCAAATTATTTGTAAATATTAATTATAAATAAAGTTTTTAAAAGGGTGCTTGGATGCCCGGAACGTTTATTATGGCCGGAACCAAACTTACGCGGGCCGGAACGTTTATTATAGCCCGGAACCAATATTATAGGTATTTAGCGTTCCGGCCGGAACGCTAAGTTACCCGGAACGTAAATTATGCGACACCGGCCTGCCTCTATAATAAAAGGTCCGCCTTCGGTTTAATATGCAGATTTTTCTCCTTTATTGATTCGAAATTAATTTGCTTTATTAATCTTTTTAAATTATTTAAGGTATAGTTGTTATAAAAGTGTCCCTCCCAGCAAAATGGAGTTCCAGGGACGTACATGTATGTACATTGTATATATACTAAAAGGATCAAGTCTTGCGATATCTCGCTAGTTGCTGGATTTCGTTAGCCAATTTTAATTAATTATATTTCTAGTACTATGATATATCTCAGTACAAAACCTCAAATTATCTATCAAAAAATTATTCAAAATTTGATGTTAGCACTGATTAACTGTTAGCTCCTTCTCGTAGTACATACCTCCCAGGTAGTGCACAAAACAAAAAAATATAAAGATGCAAAGATCTGTTGATCGAGTTATCTTATGGGAAAATCCTGTACGAGATGTGTCTTTTATAGTTTAAGCGATATCAATATTATCATTGCAAAATAAAAAAAAATACATACATACATATATATATATATATATATATATATATATATATATATATATATATATATATATATATATATATATATATATAATACGCATACCTTCACTGGCACATTGTTCAGTATATGGTGTTCGTAAGTCCAACAATGATCATTTCATTACATTCTCTTTCCTAACAACGTTCGACTTCCACTTCCCAAAAAGAATTTTCATATCTTTCGAAAGATATTTCATTATATCATTAATAATAATTATGCATAATTCTTACGATTCATATTGTATCTAACTATAAAATAATTGGAGGGTCACTTTGACATGGACTTGTGTTACGGTGTACTAGCCTATCCCGTTGTTATTAAAACAACATGTCTGTGCTTTGGGGGGTAGGCCTATTGTCTCACCTGACAAAAACTTGAAGTCGCATATCCCCCGTGTTTTTATAACCATCGTTTCTTATCCAGTTAAAGACTAACGATTATTTCATTCTACTTGATATTACCCCGGGGTTAACACTGGTTAAGGAAGATGTGCATTAATTGGCAAAATCAAACCAAAGTCAACGAGTTGAACATTTTAAGCAATAAAACACCCCCTCCCCCCAAAAAAGTAAAAAGATTATAAATGGTATTGTTGTATTTTTGGTGGGTGGGGTATAGCAAAATTATGCTGATACATGTCAAATAGTTTAAAAAGTACTGATGTTGTAGACTTTCCTCCCGCATTAATATTTTTTCCCGGAAAAACGAGCTTGGGTTTAAAGACCCCTCTCCTTTTGGAAAATGAGCCTAGCATAGGATTTTATTTCCGGAATTTTTTTTTAAATATTGTTTATTTCATTCCCTACATTTTGTAGTTTTCATTTCTGACGTTTTAAAATTTTCATCTCTGACATTTATCATCATAAAGTACTTTTCCGGCAATGAAAACAAAATTGAAATTTCCCTTATAAAAATATTAAAGAATAAATCAAGAATAATTCATTGATTTCCAAATAATAAGTTCTGCTTATATTTAAAAGAATCTTATGACGATTTTATCCTCGGACACATGTAAGTGTAAATTGTGAATTTTTGTTCATCTTTTCAAATCAAGATAATCATACTGAATTTGAGATCAGAAAGGTTAAGATAGAATTTATGACATACAGAAACTATGTTTGACGGAATAAAGTAATCAAAGTAGAGGAGATTCTGTTTTTCGGTGCTTTCAAACACATATAATTCAGTGGGCATTAAAATTTGGTGATTAAAAATTGCATGTTTTATTATTGAAATTATTGCATTTTATTACTAAACTTTGTATTTTTACTAGACTTAGTGTTGATTGTATTGTAAAATGAAAACAAAAAATGTCGGAAATGCAATGCAAAATTTCGGAAATGACATGCAGCGAGCTTGGAAGAAACAACCCCGGCTTTATTATCCACAATAGGAAATACTCAGTACGCTTCAGTGCAGAATTTTCTCCTTTTCCACCTTCTTACTAGGGAGAATCTTATCCACCCATACTATTTACAGAGGGGTTTTACAGAGCCATTGACATGTATTTCCCCCTAAAATAAAAAGGAAAGTGTCTGTTGAGATCGTGACTGATATAAAAATTCATAAAACACCACCAAGTCGTGTTCTTTTGTTAATATTTTTTATATTTATTTTGATTTTGGTTTAAATGAGATATTCTTCGACTTTAAGCGGCTATTTCTTTTTTACTTATGTGTGTGTGATGGGGGGGGGGGGGTGTTATAGTTCTCTTGTTGCACGTCATCAACATTACTAATTAAATAATAATATGTATCCTTGGTCCCTTCAGACAGATGTTTATGGTTGCATATAGATATACAATACAGTAGACACATCTCCTGCAAACGTACATAGAGTGGATAATTAATTGACATTAAAGTTTTGTCTTTTTGTCAGCATATTAAATGAAAAAAAGTACACTACTACATGTAGTATATCTGCAATTCTTATGCACAATTAGGCCATTCCAAGAGTTTTCTAAGTTAATTTAGCGTCCATCCTAAAATTAAAAACCTAATTATCTTTTTACCCTGGAAAAACACACGAACCAACAAAGAAAAAAAAAACAATAGGAAATTACAGCATTTCCATAATTTTTCCTTTGTAAGTGAGATACATGTATGTGGGAAAAAAGAAAAACAGAGGACGGACCTTTTATTATACTGCATTTTAAGGTCCGTCCTGCCATTTTAACGATTTTTTTTTACGCTACGATAACTTTTAATAAACTCTGTTCAAAATTTTCGCCTTGTAATAGTACCATATCTGAAATATAGAGGGCGGACCTTTTATTATATTGCGTTTTAAGGTCCGCCCTGTCTCTTTCTCTAATGTTTATGCTACGAAAATAAACCCTGTTCAAAAATTTCGCCTTGTAATAGTAAGATATCTGAAATATAGAGGGCGGACCTTTTATTATACTGCGTTTTAAGGTCCGTCCTATCTCTAGTTTGTATGCTACGAAAATAAACGTTGTTCAAAATTTTCGCCTTGTAATAGTACGATATCTGAAAAACAGAGGGCAAACCTTTTATTATATTGCGTTTAAAGGTCCGCCCTGCCATTTTGACTAGTTTTTATGTTACGGAAATAAACTCTGTCCAAAATGTTTGCTTTCTAACAGTAAGACCTCTGAATTATAGAGGTCGGACCTTTAAATATACTGCGTTTTAAGGTCCGCCCTGTCTCTTTCTCTAATTTTTATGCTACGAAAATAAACCCTGTTCAAAAATTTAAATGTAAATGATTTTTGGAAAGCAAATAAAATACCTTCATAAAACACACTTCTGCAAAAGGATCCAATCCAAAATTATACCATACACAAATAAAACAAGAAAATAAATAAAAGTATATGTCACCCTCTGTGTGAAAAAAAAGGTCTCCAATGATGGATCGTGCGATGGGATTGGGGGTTGGGAGGAATGTATGCATGATTCCAAGTGAGGTAGGAACTATTAAAAGATAACGAAGTAAAAAAAACAAATAAAATAATTAGACTGAAAATTCAAAAATGGAAGTTTGGTCGCGCTAAAGATTAATTAGTTGAGTCTTTAGGTGGAAACTAATTAGACATTGTCTCTGATATGTGCTTCAGTGATGGACCAGTCCGACATGATTAATGTTGTTATAAAATAAATCTGACATAACTAGTTCTGTTTTATTTAGATTAAGTTGACATAAATCTTTGTCAGTTTTGTAACTTCTCAAATTTTTACAATTTTTTTTTCATTACAAGGAAATGACCTTTAACAACAAAACAGAAAACATGGACTAAAATGTTATTTGTTTTTAATACAACTAATGAAAGGAGAGGTGTACTGAATAAGGAATTATTTTTTACGTGTGCTTGTTTTTAAAGGTGAGTATTTTAAAAAGTATTTTTTTTGCCTAAGCCGTAGTGGTGTATGACTGTAAAGTGTATATAAAATTCCTCCTGTTGTTTCATTTTAATGATCATTATGCATTCTTTATCGATAAAATCACAATAAAGAGAGGGAGACAGATTTGTCTTAACTTTTCCTCATAGACAATTATCTTGGAGAGATTTATCAGTTGAAGTGAACTACGGAAGGAAAATTGATTACTGGAAGTCGTTATATAGTCTGATATGGAAATGCAATAGTGGAAAGTCATATCCACGAGATTTCAATACCATTCCAAATGGATATCTGATGTCAATGTATATGTCTGTGCTATGTGCACTATTCGATAACTAAGGTGTTGAAATTCTTTTAATTTGTTTCGCTATAGGTGTGTTATGCGAGTGGCCTTCAAAGCATTCAGAAAACTCTATCATGATTTTTTTGTTATCCAATTTACATTTCCTATATTTATTTGCATTCAAAATTCATTTGATTAATAATGTACGGGGTTTTCAGGCATATAAAATTTGATATATATTTGTATTCAAAAGCATTCTGCTTTTTTTTCTTATTGTTAAAAAATAAAAAAAGTTTATCGTTAAAACAATTTTCATTACACGTTATGGAGGTTTTTTCTACTGCTTTATTTCCTTAAACTTATTAACACAGTTTCTTTAAAACCAAGTCTCTTTCTTTACTCCTTATTTAATTATCACTGCAGTGAAAGAACATACTGGATCACTAATGAGCAATAACATGTTAGAAAAGTGGTGCTCATGTAGATACTGAATTGTTAAAAAAAACTTTTAAAAATTTGATTTTACATAATTTGTCGAAAATTAAATGGATTAGCGTGTATAATCTTTCAACCCTTTATATAATCATCCCTTACTAAAAAAAACTATAGAGTATGCAACATCTGTTTCACATTTGAATGTTCAGTAGAAAGACACATCGATTTCTCATTTTATCAATACCAAAACATTTTCTGAAAACAAGGGTCAAAATCTTAACCAAGGCAGGCTATAGGCAAATAAGTTAATGCTGAAAAGCTATCAACATTTTCTTTAAAAGTGTACACATTGTAAACAATGGTCTTGCTTGCAAATACAGTCTTTGGTCAGGTCGAATGCTAATTGTTTTTAAATACAAATTGTCAAGTCATTATACTAATAATTATTAATCGACCGTTTACCCCAATTACGAAATCAAAACACAGGACGGACTCAGAGAGCTTATATCATGTCAACATGGACTCCTCAATGGCACCTGATCCAACCTTTGATATTTCATGGGTCCGTGTTTGCCCTGCTCTAAATCAGTAATGTTTAAGTGGATTTTTTATGCTTGATAATTGTTCATTATCTTTACATTTCATAATATCCTTATAGTAACCTATACATAAAGTAAACAGAATGCAAGTGTGTGCAGAAATAAAGATCGATATTCAGGGTAAAGTATTTCCTTTAAAAACACAGAGTGTGTGTTTTTTTCACAAATAAATTAGAGAGTTCAAAAGTCCAAATAAGAGGCCAACAAAATATATTGAGTATCACAAGTTTTAGTTTTGTTACTCAAAATATTTAAGGACGGCAGACGTAGTTGTAAGAGGCTTTGATGTCTAAAGAGAATTCTAGAGACATATTAAAGCAAACCTTCAGATAAAACGAGATATTAAAAACAGTTCTCCATTTTATATGTTTCTGCTAATTAGATTGTATACAATGATTCAGATATGTATTGGATAAATATAAGATGGATCCCTAGACCAATGTCTGATAGCAAGAAAACAAAAATGATGGAAAAAGAAGAATATTCAAGCGTAGATTTCAGAAAGACGGCTAGTATTTTCCAAAGAGGATCATAATCTCTATTAATGAGACTTGGTTACATTATTTTGACCCCAAAAACAGCAAATGTCATTGAGGTGGATAGGTTTAGATTTACTCCTCCAAAAAGGTCAATGTATCAAAGCCATATAAAAAGAACACATATTTAGTTTAATTATTTATTCACAATCACATAAATGTTCTGATGTTAAACCGCATCCTACGGAAAGGACACAAAGTCATTGCATAATTTTTAAAATTAATTATAGGTTCTGCAGAAAGACCTGACAAACGTATTGAGAAAAGGGAAGGAAATTAATTTATTAAAAAAAAAAAACCCCGAGAAAATACTATATAACATCTAGACAACGCCCCTGCATATTCTGTCGTGATGCGGACACAATAAAATTGCAATTATGGGCTTAAGTTTTACTGCACCCACCGTATCCTTTCGATTAACTGCCATACGACTCTGCTTCATTTCTAAGATTAAAAAGACGCATGAAGACATGAAGAATATAACATTTTTTTTTTCCATTTGTATTCTATAATTTTTTATTTGCATTGTATAATTTTCCATTTGTATTGTATGTTTCCATTTGTATTGTACAATTTTCCATTTGTATTGCATAATTTTTATTTGTATTGTATAATTTTTATTTGTATTGTCAGTTTTGAAAAATCAAAATATTTAATGAATTTTTAGAATTGCTGATCGTCATTTCTGAAATAAGAATTTCATTAGGTTTGTCCAAGTCATCTCCGAGAAAATGTTCGGTCAAAATAATAGGTCTAGCGATAACAAAATGTCGTCCAGACTTACGTTTTAGACCACATAATAACATCTTTAACCAATGGCCACTGTGACGTATCTATTGTACATGTTTTAGTGTGTGATGAGATCACAGTAAGTTTACTAAAATACATGTAGTACTAGTGCTGTTATATAAATTTTAATTGCGTGTTTGTCAGAAAACGCAAGAGAATCACCAGTTGAGACCCAAACCTTGGCATCAATTATCTTTTTTTAACTTTGTATCACTCTGCTTGGAAGGATTCATTTTTCAAGAGGAGTTAATTTCTTTTAGGTTGCACATGTAGAAAGTTGACCCCTAGTTTTCTTCTTCTACAAAAATGACATTTTCCTACGGCTAGGGTCATTTTTGCATCATCAAATGGCTGTTCTCTGTAAATGAAGAGTTCAGATCACAAATGATAAAAAACTTACATATGATTGAGATTTTGACTTCAATCAAAGTTCCTTTCATTATCCAGGAGCCCTCTGTTTTTAGGGATCCATGGTTTTGTCCTCTAACCACCATTGTGTTTTGTTACTGGATTTATGAGATTGATCACTGTTCGTAATCTTCACCTTTTACAAATATCTTAAATAATCAATTAACTAAGTTAAGGTCAATGTCAAGAAATATATGAATCATCGAAACTGTCAATTTTAATTGATTCACAGAAATTGATACCCACCAATATTAATGGAACCACAGTAATTTCAAATTAAACAGATATGCACAACAATATATCTTCAAAACGTGCATCATGAAAAATAATCATACGTATGCGTACCTGCCTATAATTATTCTAAAACAAATCCTTGGTCCTTATATTTACGATGAAATTACCAACATCTCCTTGTTGTCTTCTTGATTTATCAGTAATTCATGTGAACAATTAGAAAGGCTTCCCGAAGCTTAAAATGAATTCAAAACATAGTATTGCATTTTGAGGTCGCTTTTCATTTTAATTTGTAATTTATGTACTTAAGCATAGTTTTTTTTTTTAAATAGAGGGTTCTTTAAGCTATATGTTACATGTAATATATTTGTTATGGTATCATTGGTCATGACGGTCATTTATAATTTAGTTTGAATGTTTTATATAAATCGCGTCTGTGCAGCCGATGAGAACAATTATTATTTTTTTTTAGACAAACAAAATCTTTCACAAATCTTTGCATACCAAAAATGTACTTAGGAAAACTCAGACTATTACTAGCGTACAAAATATTCGGCGAGAAATTCAATTTACCTGCAAATTAAATTATTTTCCACTCAATACCGTAATCTGCATCAAACGAAGCCAATGCACAACTTTCTTAAGCAAAATTCAATTAGAGAACAACTTCTCATACATAAAAAAAATCCACAAAACATCTCAGACTAATACTCATTAATCAACTGCGACAGAATCTTTACACACATTAAAAATTCTACCTCTGACTATCGGTATAAAAACGAAAGTTAATTTTTGTCAGCATTTTGAAGACGCTAAATTTTAGTCAAATGTAATTAAATGTATTAAAATTATTTTAAAATATTCAGGCATATAAGATTCAAAAGTACATTTAAGACATCTGAAGTTTGCAACAGAGTTCTTACATTTTACATGCAGTTTGAAATAAGGTCTAAAGTTTATGGCAATCTCTCTGTCTTAAAAGCTTAAGTTTGCATAGAATTGACGTCATATTTCTTTACCACATAATATAGGGAAGTTCAGAAAAGTGAAGGCACAGTGTGCAATGTGATATTCTATGGAAAGCCTTAATCTTCCTTCTATTAAAAATTTCATAACCCCTGCCTAGAAATTCCTGATATGTCATATCCTAATATTTAAGAATGAAATGACTATTTCTAAGGTTCGAATTCAACTGTGGGACGTTGAGACCGGTCCTTCGAATGAGACCGTATAAACCTAGGCCCCATGTCACAGTAGGTGCTGGCACCAAAAAGATCTCTCACTGCTCAATGACCCCGAGTGCCGAGCATAGGTCAAAATTTGCAGCTCTTTACCGGCAAGTGGTGGCGTCTCCATGTGAGTGAAAAATTTTTCGAAAGGGACGTTAAACAGCAAACAAACAAACAGTTTCTAAAGTAAGATTCGAAGAGTCTGTGGGAAGAAAAAAAAATCATTGGATTGTATTGTATTTATAATTAATTGTCGTACGATTTATACCTACTACTTAAAATTATAATTTAGTCTATGTTGTTGTTTAATAGAAAGTTGATACTCATTTCAATTTAAGATTTAAGGTTTGGTTATGCACCTGTTGTTCATAAGTAATCTATTGATGTAAAAAATAGAAAACCATTGTTTGTAGAGAAATATTTACTGGTCCTCGGAGGAGTTATAGATATAATATGTTTTATAACGCCTCTACTGTGTTGAATTTGCTTTATCATATCCTTAACTTAGTTGATTACATAATAGTTGGGAACATTGAAAATAATATCTTTATTCTTATTTGACTTCAATCTCTGATGATGTTCAATTATGGGTTAATAGATTTATGTACTTATAGGAAATTGGTGTATGCAAAACAGTTCATTTCCCATTTTATCTCTATACCTGTGGAAAAATAGATAGCTTCATTTTAGCTGTATAATTGGATAAATCACGATACATTTCCCATTCTGACATTGTGCTGTAGAAATACAAATCGATAACTTCCGGTTATATCATTGCAGCTGTTGAAGAATTATTGGATACCTTCCGGTTCCTTCATTGTAGCAGTAGAGATTTAGTTAAATAACTTCCGGGATGTCACCTTTATTTTCTGTTATGTTTATGGTGTTGTGGTTCAAAGTGGTGATCATGAGTAAACACAATTATACAGAACTGGAGGAGAGTGTGGTCGATCAATGTCAAGCCCGGTGTCATCTCAAGGTAACTTGCTTAAATTATAAACTTTTACTCATATAAAGTCAAGGAAACTTAATTGATCAATGAATTTTAAACTTACATTGGATTACTACATATTTTCTTTTTCATATATTACAATTGCACATCTTTATATAATTTTAGAAAAAGTCTATTTTTGATACGTTTTTTAGCATTAAAAGTGAATATGTTTTGTAGAAATATAATCTATGAGCTATATTATCGTTTTGTAACTACATCAGATAAGATACAGAAATAAAATGGAGGTCGGAGTCTTTTGGAAGATTTGTATTTACATTTTTCACAGTTCTTATATTATACCTCAAATTTGTAAATAAGCTGTGCTTCATAAAACAAACGCTAAATCTTTAAGTAAAAAACAAATGCATTAGAAAGAAATTTTGACACAAAAATGAATTCCGTATGTCTTTCATTTTCAAATAAACTTTTCGTAACACAGATTAAAACAATGTACAAATGGGTACGACTATATATTTTCACTATAGAGTGAAAACTCTAATATACGTTTATCTGATATGAATATTCCTAAGAAACATTCATTCATTATTCTTTCATTCTATTTTTGTAATTCATATGAAGCAGGATTTATTCAAATACTTCCACTCGAGAAGAAGTAGTGAACTCTAAATGAAAGGCATCACAGAGTCCACTACAACTGTCTTACAATTTGATATTTGACTGACTATAGACGATAGGGTCAACCTTTCAGCTAAATTGTATGACAAACGAGATGACTTCAACTATCCTTATGTACTTTGTTTGTTTAGCGTCCCTCTCGAGAAGTTTTCATATGAAAACATATGACATATGAAGACGCCACCTCTGCCGGTGGAGAGCTGCAAATTTTGACCCATACTCGGCACTCAGAGTCAATGAGCAGTGAGGTATCTTTTCCGTGCCAGCGCCTAATGCGACACGGGACCTCAGTTTATACGATATTTTCCGAAGGACCGGTCTCCACGTTCCAAAGTGGGATCCTTATGTAGTAAAATTATGCTAGCACCTGCAAAAGTGTTTATGTCCCAAACTTTCTCAGTACTCAAGATACTCTAGGTACGATCTATTTTTGAAACGAGACAATCTGATGTGAGATGGATTCAACAACCTCCCTTTAAGTCAGCATATCGTAAATTCTACAGTAGTTATAATGATCTTGTCAGAAACCATATCCCATACCTATTGTAAGGTCTTTGTTTTTTACCTGATTTGACAACGGAGTACTCCGTTTACCGTATCAATGCAAAAAAAAAATAGTAATAATAATAATCTGACCGGTCAAAGGGGAGATGCTTACTCCTCCTAGGCACCTCATCCAAACTATGAAATTTCTAAGTCCGTGTTTTGTGCTCTGTTCACAGATTCGTATTGTTTGTAGGTATATTGAGATAGATAAGTGTTCGTTAACGTCTTTTATTTCATAATATTTACATTTGGAAATGTTTTCTTTTATATAACACTATTAAAATCAACGCGTATCTATATCCGTATAAACACGGGTTCCTCGCGTCATAAACGTTCGACGTAATTTCTCAGTGACGTCATAAAGGGTCGACGCGCAATCAGTGGATCAAACACGTGCCGTTAGGTTTGAAAAATAAAACGTTTCACGCGTTAAAGATTATAATCAGGCAAATATAAAATATGAATAAGTCACAAATGTAAATATAAGTAATAAGGTATCATTTTAAAACATCTATCGGGCTATAAATACGGGTTGGTACGATATCAAATTTACCATAAAGCCCTTCGGGCTTTATGGAATTTGATCTCGTGACCAACCCGTATTTATATCCCGATAGATGTTTAAAAATGATACCTTATTTCTTAATTATTTTACAATTAGATATCTTCAAATCATAAGAGAATGTTGATGCAAGTTATGATGAAAATGTTTCATTTATTTTTATTGCATTTGGCGAGTCTCTGATGATAAATAGCAACAGTTTATAAAAAAATTAAGGGAAACATAAATAGAATAGTGTAAAGTACGATCTTTTAATCAAGCGTTTTGAGACGTCTGCCATTTTGTACATGGAGACAATAGAGAGGGTTGATCCAAGAGTAATGTCACAACAGCTATAAAATCTTTAATAATCAAATGTTATCATCATTTCACAAGTTCTATCGTCGATACAATGACCTTGTCAGCAAATGCAATTTATCAATAAGTCAAATGCTACTGACGTTTTACATACATATTGTTAAGCCATTATTAGACATTGAATTGTCTACGGATTATTCCGTTTGCCCGATCCGGACAATGAGCTCACGGCAGATATGACCGGTCGACAGGGGATGCTTACTCCTCCAGGCACCTTTGATGTGTTTAAGGGGTCTGTATTTGCCCTGCTAACGATTTGTATTGTTTCAATGGGATTCTGAGCTTGAGTACTGTTCGTTATCCACATATTTCATCGAGAAAACTTAATATGAAACATGGAGATAACGAACAATTTTCAAACTCAAAGTCCATAAAAACAAGATAAATTGGGAGCAGAGCAAACACGGAACTCCATCAGAGGTGGGATCAGGTGCCATAGAGGAGTGAGCATACCCTGCCGATCGGTCACACAAGCTGTGTGCTCCATGATCGGTAAATAACAGAATAATCCATCGACAATTCAGTGTGTTAATACTGGCCTAACAATTAGAATGAAAACTTTAGTCAGCATATAATTTAACGATAGATTGTATTTGCTGATAAGACCATTTTATTGATCACAGAACTTACGAAATGATGACTTGAAAAGAGGATGTTGATATTCTTGTTTCTTCAACTTGTTTGTCAATAACTTAACTCGTTTTAGAAATTGTTATCACGTTTATCATAAAATTTTGTTGTTAGATTACCATTAAATTCTTTTTCTAGTAAAATATCCAATTATGAAACAGATGAGTCAGACTCTGTGGTAGTTCTTATTTCAAGCTCACTGGTATTTTTTGTGTCGACATATGAATGGAAATAACTATTGTGTATTGATAATACGTCGTCGATATATCTAAATGTCGAGTTGGAGGCCAAAGCAAGAGATTTCTTTTTCTCGTGTATAAGATTTTGAATAAATTTGTATATATGTAACCTTTATCATCATGTATCTCGTGATTTCATCCTAAAGTTTCATTTAAACCTATGCAACTCTTAATAATATATTTAAACCAGAAGTCTCTGATGAGACTGTAGCTCTACTGGTCTGTTTGTATAACAAAAGAAAAGTAGCACTTGGATTTGAAACATTGCAACATGCAACAATAAATAGAATTATGTATCTTAATGTAGTCTACTTTTGTGACAAGTTATATTGAAATCAAATGAAAACTAGGAGTAGTAGCGTTTTGAAAGTATTTCACGGAAATTTCTATTTTTAGTAACCATGACAACACCATTCACCCAAATAAAAAAAACAGAAATACATATTATGTATCGTAGTGTATTCTAACTGTGTGCCAAATTAGATTGAAATCAGACCAAAATTGTAGGAGGAGTAACGTTTTAAAGGAATTTAAAAGAAATTTTTATTTTAAGTAACCATGGCAACACTGTTCATCGAATTCAAAAACCAATGCAATATATTATGTATCTTAGTATAGTCTTCTTGTATGCCTAATTATATTAGAAGCAGACTTAAACTGTAGCAGGAGTAGTGTTTTAAAGGAATTTCACAGAAATTTCTATTTTTAGTAACCATGGCAACACCGTCCATCGAAATCAAAAACCGATGCACTAAATTATGTATCTTAGTGTAGTCTACTTGTGTGCCAAGTTATATTGAAATCGGACCAAAACTGTAGGAGGAGTAGCGTTTTAAAGGAATTTCACAGAAATTTCTATTTTTAGTAACCATAGCAACACCGTCCATCGAAATCAAAAACCGATGCACTAAATTATGTATCTTAGTGTAGTCTACTTGTGTGCCAAGTTATATTGAAATCATACCAAAACTGTAGGAGGAGTAGCGTTTTAAAGGAATTTCACAGAAATTTCTATTTTTAGTAACCATGGCAACACCGTCCATCGAAATCAAAAACCGATGCACTAAATTGTGTATCTTAGTGTAGTCTACTTGTGTGCCAAGTTATATTGAAATCGGACCAAAACTGTAGGAGGAGTAGCGTTTTAAAGGAATTTCACAGAAATTTCTATTTTTAGTAACCATGGCAACACCGTCCATCGAAATCAAAAACCGATGCACTAAATTATGTATCTTAGTGTAGTCTACTTGTGTGCCAAGTTATATTGAAATCAGACCAAAACTGTAGGAGGAGTAGCGTTTTGAAAAATTGTTTACAGACAGACGGACAGACAGACGGACGGACAGACAGACGGACGGACGACGGACACCTTACTATCGCATAAGCTCTTCTGGTCTCTGACCAGTAGAGCTAAAAATCAGAACGTAAAAAGTTTCGTCTATCGCCGCACGGTACGAATGTTACGACGTCGATATGACGTTACTTTTCGGCACTCATATACAGATTATCTGCATGTATGTAAATCATATACGGTACCAATTTTTATGTACCAGATGCGCATTTCAACAAATTATGTCTCTTCAGTGATGCTCGAGCCGAAACGTTGAAAATCCAAAATAAAAAAAAAAGACTTGGAAGAGCTGAAAAAATGTGCCAAGGACTGGAGCCAAATACGTCGAAAGATCAGAGCATGAGGGAGATAAACCCTAATCTTGAAATAAATTTTCAAATTTTACCACAGCAATTAAATATAAATCCGTATTTTCAAGATAGTCCAAAGAACTATGTCACTGGGCTGTAGAGACCCTCGGGGACTAACAGTCCACAAGGAGAGGCCTCGACCCAGGGGTCATAATGTAAATCATATACGGTACCAATTTTGATGCACCAGATGCGCATTTTTTTAATCTCTCACCTGCTTCTTTTTAATAATCTTAACTGTCATTTTGCTGTCAACCGTCTTGTTCTGAGTAGTAGAATTAAAAGGATTTTTAAACTTTGTCCAAATGTTAGTT